GATCGGACAACCCATTTAGGAAAAAACCGGCGAACATGTATAGAAAAAAAATAAGGGGCACTCTTTCAGGGACAAGTACAAACTAATTACATCATGATTGAGGGTGCTTCATCCATTTGTTCTTTGTTAACTTTCTTTGCAAAAATTTACTGCGCATGTATATCTCTGACGGTTTAGGACTGCGCAAGGGTAAAGTATCCGTAAAATAATAGCAGATCCTGCGCAACAAATGTTCTAACAAATCAAATTGATGCATTTTTAGAACGATACGGAGACTGTACCAAGCAATGGGAATAATACACCAACGTCAACGTGAACTCATCTTGCTGTATAAGTCGCGTGTCAGAGCGGTAAAGCTTAGTTTAGTGTTTTGGTACAGAGCATTGTAATTGCCCTTTCTTGTCTTTCCCGTGCATAGCGCGGGGCGTTCCACTAATATTAATAACAATAGTTTTTTCGCTAATATGACGAAAACTAGAGTTTTCCGTCAATAATGCATAAGGAAAAACTCGTTCAGAATCATGCCACTAATAATGTATTAGAAAGACAAAAATCGTTCGAAGTTGGTTTCATAAGTTAACAACAATTTTCGCTAATATCTCGAAAACAAAAGCTTTCCGTCAATTATGCAAGAGGAAAAAGTTGTCCAGAACCACACCCCTAACAATATATTCGAAGGACATTAAAATCGTTCGAAGTTGATTTCAAAAGTTAATAACAATTTTTCACTAATATCTTGAAAATAAAAGTTTTCCGCAAACTTCGTATATGAACAAAATTGTTCAGAATCATGTCCGTGATAAGATATTAAAAGCACACTAAAATCGAGAAAAGTTTATTTCAAAAGTTGCCGGTTTTTTGCAATAACAACACTTTGCAATTTTAAAATGAAAAATTTTTTGATAATGGTACCAATGGGGAGTCAGCACTTACCATATGCAAAAGGTTTCATTCCGATCGGTCCATCCAGCTAGGCGTAATGCGCGAACATACATAGAAAAAAAAAAAAAAAAATATACTGATCGAATTGAGTAACCTCCTCCTTTTTCGAAGTCGGTTAAAAAAGGTAAATGAGTATTGCAGCAAGTAAGGAAAAAGTCTTTCTCAAAAATAGCCTTTGTCGCGGACCTATCATAAACTCTCCAAGCGGAATCCTCACGTACCGTGTTCCAACGGTTGGAACAGTTGTCAATTAACAGTTCAGTTAACAGTTTCTATGAAGCTGAGGAATCTAGCTCCCTTCAAAACTCTAATTACACCTATGACAATTATTGCAATTACCCAATGAATTAATCCACACATTTTACATATTGATGATGAGTTGTTCACACTACAATTTTGCAAGAAAATAATGTAAACGATTACCATTCACACACAAACAAATAAAACTGCTATATTAATTCATTACAAATTTGTCTAATTTATGAGAAAAGGTCCACATCTTAGAACCAGTTAAAGTAAGTATAAACTTTAAATTATTTGTACAATATCAAACATTAATAAACAAATTCACTTTGTATTTCAAAATAAAATGTTGTGTTATAATTTCTGTCTATTAATTGATTTGTGAAAATATTCATTACATAAAATACATAAATGAAAATTAAATTTAAAAACACAACATTTGTTGAAAATTGTTTCTCCTTTACTAGAAAGGTTTTGGCTAGCGATATAATTTTAGATTGATCATGTTCAATACATGACGGAATATTTTAATTATATAACATTTTATGTGAATAATTATTTAATTATCATTTTTTCGAATATTAAACTCTCACATGTTTTCCGACGAAAATGTAGTCTTATTTTCTTGCAATAAATACACTTCTTGTAAACCATAGTTTTTTATTATTTTTGTGTAGGAAAATGAAACGATTTAAGTTGCCTTCAATGAAGTTAATTATGTGCATTCAGCGTATCAAAATTACTTACTGACCCTATTTACATTCCTTCTCGGTTTAACCGCGAAGTAATTGTTTCACTAAATATTTGAAGACACCTAAAGACTGGTGGTAGCAAAATCAGGAAGACTGCGGAGTTCCACATAAGCTAATTTATACCATATTTTTCGTAAGGAAAAGGTATTAATCATTACGTGAGTAATTACTGAAACAAACCTTTCGATACGTGTCCATTTAGGCTTGATAAAATGAATATCTAAATCGTAATGTAACACGCACAACTATCAATTGGCGACTAAAATATTGTAAATATGAATAGAAATCGATTATATCTGATATCGCGAAAAACCACTATAACTGCATAATTAATTAATTAATATAAACATAACACTATTTTGTCGAACACAAATCTCCATAAAATAGCATATGAACCGAACTCCTCTCTCGATGACGTATTTCTGTGAACTGCAGGGATCCACTGTTTGTGTTCAGAATTATTGTTCTAACACGTCTTTGGGAAATCAATCAAAGACACTGACAATTCAACATGTCAGAATCATCAGTGTATATCACGGTTGTTTTCCGAGAAAACTTCATCACAATTGCTTTATTCAATATTTCATGGTCTTTTTAGATGCCATTTTTGTACATGCCACATCTGATACTAACATTGCAATTCACATGTGCCAGTCAAAAGAACTATTATTGCACTTGGAACATTGACGTGGACGTGTGTGCGTGATTATAAGTCATAGTATAGTGCAACATGTTGGAGATTAATTTGGTACTGTCCCCTCGAGTAAAAGTGACATGACAGTCGACGTATAAAGTGTCGTTCCCATAGTTTTACCGGACTACTTCGCTCGCAATATTTCTAACCACCAGTGCAACAGCTGAAAATGTCGCAGCTCAAGAAAGCCGAAGTTGAAAATTGTACGCGCGATATTTATTACTTCTAATCACGCTTCGATTCATTAATCGAATTAAGTAATTGTCAGAATAATACATTTTTTTACATATCAATAACGCAATGAACACGGGTCTATTTAATTTTCTTTGAAAATCTATGTGTTGTGTTAATGTTTCATTGTGTATTTGTATTTGGTGTGACTAAACGTTCAGATGTTATCGTGCTAATGAATTTGGGATTTCGATTGAAATGAGGACGTGTAGCATTTCAGGATCAACAAGCACAGACCAAGAACGTATTTGCTCTTCATCACTACAAGGCGCTTGAAATATTTTTAACATTGACGGGGCTAAATCCGTATTGTGCGACTCGAGCAAGCACTATTAGGCTCAATGTAGTATTCTATAGCTTGATCTCGGGCATAATCCCATTGGTAAGTAAATTTTTACAATTTTACATCATTCGACACTGAATTATTAATGGAATTATACTTGAAACTGCAGCTGAACTAAATGAATTAAACCCTATAAATATTTAGTTCATTGTAACGGTGCATGTGTAACGTCCCTGGAACCTAAGTTCAGATAGTTACAAGCGCTAAAATGTAAAGAGCGGCTTTTACCCCTAAACGACTCGATTTCGCAAATAAAGATTGTGGGATTCGTGTGGTGTGCGGTTAAGGAGTGAAATCCACAGGTCAAAATCTTTCAACAATTAAATTTATTCAATAAAACGATAAGAAATGGAACTAACAAATAACAATAACAACAAATAAAGAAAAATATATAGATTATAAATGATTAATTCGAATAGAGAAACTAAATAGATCTTGAAATAATAATAATAATAGAAATAATAGAATTTAACAATTTAAACAATATGTAATAGATAATCGTGAATTTACGATATAAAACTCGCTGGTTAGTACTTTATATTGGATCGTATCTAAATCGGATCTCTGATAAAGCAAACTTCGCATTTATAATATTAACTAAATTTGATATTCCTTATATATATTCGATTTCGTGTTCGAAGCTATCGCAGTGACAAGATTTTACTTGATTAACACGTCTATAATTTATAATGAATCCTACCTAAGTGTAATTCGGTTTCTGGATCTATATAATTGAAATTTTACAAAATTAATAATGTTAGCGCTTTATAATCTACCGCCGCGAGGAATTCGACCTAGGTGAAATTCTCTAAGCGCACCTAAATACGCTTTCGCAAAAATTAGACAGATTTATCTACTATCTAACGCGGTGTAGTCGACTA